ATATAAAAAATAGAAATTGAGTAAGGTATGATTCTTAGTTCCGATTCTCAACAAAGACCAGAATCAAACGGTTCTATGTTCTAAAAACGAAACTATTAAAAAATTTAATAAAATCGTTCAGTTCGATTGGTGCCTATTGTTTTGTCCACTCCTAATGATGACTAATAAACTTGTGTTTATGTCGATCTATCCTTTAAATAAGGATTGTTAGAAGGTTATTTATAAAAATATATAGGCAAAATATATAGGAATTAAATAAAAAAAATAAAGTAAACAGACTGAAGAATGAAGCAGTTTTTGAGGGAAAAAAATATGTACAGAGAAGTAAAAGAAGTGGAAGAAAATTAAGGAATTAAATGCCAGCTGTGAAGGTCACAAAAAAGCTAAACAATTGAGACCAGACAAGTTATCATGTCGTGCCCTAACATCATTAGATCATGACCACACCAAACCACTCTCCCCCACGCCAAACCCAACTAGGAACTGCACAAATTCCTATGCTTAAACAAAGGCATCTTAATTTTACCACTTTTACCTTGAAAATAGGTTAAAAAAGTCCCTAATATTCAAAAAAGAGTATTTTATTGTCCTTTCTGACTAATAATCATCTGATCGGACCGGACCGTACCGGACCGGTTGATGACTCCATCAAAGTATTAGATCAACAGATTTTTAGTCTAAACGGTCGGTTACTGCTTAAATGTAGAGTAAGTCTACTTCGATGGGTTACTACTGTGCTAGATCCCTACCTTGAATCTTTTTTCAAATTTTATTTTTATGTTTTTATACTTTAATCTTATTTTAAAAATATAAATATAAATGGGGTAAGTACGTGGAGATATTTTAATCTTCATCCATTTTCCTATTTTTTGAACGTTGAGGATCAAAATTTAATTTGAGCGAAAGACTGGAGACCATTACTACTATTTTTACAAACTTTAAATAAATTTATCAGATGATTTTCACTTCTTCCTTAAATCCTGCCCATACGTATACATTGTAAATATATTTTATTGAGATTTGGCACAGTCTCTCTCTCTCTCTCTCATTTCTGTACAGT